TTTTTTTCATACCCAAAATCTTTTTTGGGTTTCAAATGGCAAAGGTGTACCTCTGATGGAGATCCCCCCTTTATTCAATTGTTGATGCAAAACCCCTATCGTTAACAAGGCCTTTTCAGGTTAGTTTAATTCCCATTTTTTTCCCCCAATTAGTGTCAACGAAGTTCAATATTCATTTTTTCTAGCTCCTCTACTTGATTTTCCTGTTCCCGGATTTGAAAAGACGCATGAATAACACATCGCAAACTGTGTCACAATTGTATCAATTAAACTCTGGTTGAGGAAGGTCATTCAATAAATGTTGAACAGAATAGGATGGACAAAAACCCTTGGGGGGCACCTGGGGTATAAAAGGTCTGTCGACCTCCCATGAAAGGGGGAATGTTTTTTTCTTTAGTTAGAAATTATATTTACTCTGAGAAAAAGCCCCGTTAGGTCGGGGAATGATTTGTTTTAAAAGACCATCTGCTAAGCTTCAAAAGTTTTAAAAAACATCTTGGTGGGAAAATTTAAGGAAGATTCCCTGAGTTTTAACTACTACGTATCGAAAAAAATTTATTGCATATTGGTACCTCTATGTTTCAAAAAGCCAATTGTTTTTCAGAAAAAAAAAGTGTTTGAACTCCATATAGTAGTAAACTTTTGGAAATGCCCTTCTCAAAAAATTTTTCCCAGGTTTCAAGTAAAAAATATGGTTATAGTTCCCCCGGTTGGGAATTCTTTATTGGGCTTTGAAGAAAGATCATCCTTGCAGTTTAAAAAAAAATGGAAAAGTCCTGAGGCCAAGATGGCATAAAGAATTTACCAAAGAGGTTTCCCAATTTGGGTAGGAACTTTATTTGTTTCTTGTTTTCCCAAGAGCCGGGGGCTCTTTGCGTTTCTTCCAAAAACCGACTATCTCTAGAAATGAAATAGGTTAGTAAGGGGGGTGGGTATCTTAAAAGGTTAAAAGTATCGATGGAAGGTGTGGTTGTAGATCACCAATTTCTCATTCTCCTTCATTTCCAACGTAAGATTATTGTAAATTTGACGACTGTTTTTGGGGAGGGAAATTTTCTCCCATACTACCCATCAAATTACCCGGGTCCTGTGGTCTCAAGTTTAATTCAAAAATCTTCTTCCTCATCAGTAAAGGGTATGAACTAGGAGTTGGAGCCTTGTGCTTTGCCCCAAAAAAGTTGTGGACTTACTCCAAAATTTTTCTGGTTTACGTTTATATGATTAGCTTGAAGAACTGCAATTTCCCAAAATCCCGTTTTTTGATGACTAAACATGTTAATTAATTTTGCCTTAATCGTGCCCTTCGACTTCACTTGTAATTTCTTAATTGTCTCTAATTTCCCTAGTAGGTTTATATTTTTGGTATATCTTTTGGAAACTAATTGGGAAGTTGCATTAGTAAACTTCAAGTTTCGATTATGCCGGGACCTGATTGCTCATCAAAAGCATGGAAGGTAGATTTTTCCCAAAGACACATTTCATCCCCACCCCGAAATGCCCTGAAGGGGTCAAAAATCCTAGGGGGTTTAAGATTGGGTTTAGGAGTTACAGGTATTCAAAAAGGAGAAGTTTGTAGTTGTATTTTAAAAAGGGATATGGTCAGTCCTACGTTTTTTTTTTCCCTCGGAGTATACGACTGAAAGATGTCACAGTCTCTGTTTGTAGTACTATTTTGGTGCCTTGGGTGATCCAATGTACGATTTTAAAAAAATGGGCCTTGAAATGACAATTTCTAGTGTAGATATTAAATAGTTGTTTTCTTTTAAGTCACCATGGGAAAACCACTCCACAGTTTAAAGGGGAGGGGTTTAGAGCATTAAAATTCCCGCTAGAATTGTTGGAAATTTTGCAAAAATTCCATGAGAAATTGACTCTTTATTGTTTTTTCGGGGGGGAAAAAATCCATTACTATCATATTGCCCCGAGACGTTGTCATTTCTATTGCAAGAATGTTTTCTTATCAACATGAAATTTTTTAAATGTAAGCCTAATTTAAATAAGAGGCTACACCCTAAAGGGTCCCCTCGATTTTCCAAGTGAGTAACCACCCTTTTTTAATATGTTATTAACTCTTGCACGTCCGTAAAGGTATAAAATCGGGATTGTAATTATGTTGTTCAACCTCAAGGGGGGTAACGGTTTTTTAAAAAAATGTTGAAACATTAAGTTGGGAAAAAATTTTAATCCCCTTTTTTTTCACTTGCTTTTTTTCTGCGGTTGAACGCCTGCAAGTAAAGTCAGTTTTTGGGTTTCCCCCCACCCTGCTGGTCATCAAGGGGGGAGGGAACTTCTGCGTAGTTGCTTGTGTTTAAAAATTCCACACTTCACTAAGGTGGTAATATTAAAAAGATCATTAGAATCGTTAGAGTATCTCAGAAAACTGAGGTATGATATTCCCCGTTACGGAAGCAAGGCTCGTGAGAGTTTTAAGGGGGACTGTGGAGGCTCCCAAAGGGAAATTAGGTAGGCAAAGGGGATTACCTTGGGAAAGTTCCCGTTCAACAGGATCGCTACAATAGCGGGGGTGGAACCCAAATTTTGGGGCATTGTTTTGTTAGGTTTGACTTTTGGGTTGAGGGGGGGTTTACAAAATGGGTAGCGAGGTGGACGATCCTGGGCCCCGGGATGACTTGCTTATTTTTGGATGTAGATAGGGGCATCTTTTGTTTGGAAGGCTGGGTCTAATAACCCCACATTTTTTGGGATAGTGTGGGGTGATCCCCTTTGCCATTACGATCATTTAAAAACCTGAGAGCAAGTTGAAAGTCACACGCTAGTCTTTGGCCTTTATATACATTAGTTGTGCTCTTAATCCCGGGTGTGGATACCCGAGACTAGGGTGAAATGAAACCCTTTTTGTTGCGTTTGGTATGGTAGGTGAGGGTTAGATTGAGGCGCTCCCAAAAGGGGCGAATTCCAAACATTTGGAAACCATTGGTAGAGACCTGAGGAGTCCCATTATCCAGGAGGCTGGGGAAAGGAAAATTTGGGACACGTTGGGGTGCCTGGGGGAGTGGTCTTCTTAGAAGTGGACCGTTTTTCTTGGCTTCAATAATTTTTTTGCATTTCCTTTTTCCTTTCAGGACAAATAGCGAAACAGCATGAGTTTTCCGTGGAGGGGCACATTTGGGTGTTTTTTTTATTACAATTCGATAAGAAATTTGGCCAGACAAATCTACAAAAACTGCCCTTGAGTAGCATTTGTTTGGGGTTATGACCAAAGCAAAACATTTAAAACATTTTGTCACATACAAATCGTTCAAGAGAGATTTGGGCAGGTGTCATCTGGGCCAAAACATTTGAAGCCTTTTTGACACACAAGTTTGGCCTCCTCAGGTGTTCAATTTTTAACTTTAAGGTTACCTTGTTTTTGTTAGGTTTTTAGAATTTATTGCTTCGACAGCCCCTAAATTCGAATTTTCTGTATTAATCCTCAACAAAATTTATTCGTGTGCTATGCTCATGAAACTGTTAAATTTGGCAACAAACACAGTTCCTCTGAGTGATAGCTCCAAAGGGGCAACTGGGGTAACACCCCAAAAATCTTCAATTTTTCGCATTGAAGAAAAATCTTCTTCCCAAGAGAGGAGAAGTCTGCTCCAGGGGGGGTTTGAAAAAAAATCCCCGGAGAACGTTAAGTTCGGAAAAACATGCTAGAATTTTTTCTCGACTTTTGGGGTTCCCTCAAAACGTTTTTCTTACTCGTATCCTCGCCAGATGCTGAAGGAAAACTGGCAGAGGAGTTTCTTAAAAAAAGGGATTTTTTCCTTAGTGTTATTCTAGCATCCTATTTCGCTGACTTTGAAGGTCAGCCCCAAGATCCCCACCCCGAAGGGGGAGGGGAAAAGGGCCCCAAAGGGAAAGTCGGCCCGGGTTTTAAAAAAACCCCCCGGGCTGGATGGCAAAAAGCCTTGTGTTTAAATCGCCAAAGCGAGTTGCCCAAAAAGAAGAAAATAGGGAAAATAGAAGGATAGCAATGTAGTAGTGTGTTAGTGTGTGGGCAGTGTTGTGTTTGGGTGAGGGGAGAATGGGGAAGGGTGGGGGGATGGGGAAAGAGGGGTGAAAAAGCAAGCAAGCAAACCAACCCCGGCCGGGTTTAACCCGCGGTCATAGATCCAAAACCCAGCCCCCGCGTTAGCCACTAACCACTAAAACAATAAGATTTGTCCAACTAGGTATTTTTAAACCCAAGGGGAAAGGGTTTCACAGGCACCACTGTGACCACAAATGCAAGTTCCTATGGTTAGAAATATACCCAGTTTTGGGCGAAAACTTATTGTGGCTACTGGGTTTTGGCTAACGCGCGGGGTGGGGTTTTGCGATCTATGAGTGGGTTCAAATTCCCCGGGCCCGGGGGAAGGTTTGTTTTTTCTCGTGTCATTTTCGATTTCGTGAGTCATGTTGATGGGGTGAAGGGACTTTAGCTAGAGTTTGTCACGGCCCGCTAGCTGAGATTTGTTGTAAAAACTTGCATTTGTGGCACGTGGGGCCCGTGCTAAAACCTTCCTATGGTTTAGAAATTACCTAGTTGGACGAATCTTATTGGGCTAGCTGGTCTGTGGCTAACCGGGGGGCTGGGTTTTGAGCTCTAGACCGTGGGGTTTAATCCCGGACCGGGGGGAGGTTTGTTTGCAAAACGTGCATTCGATTTGTGAGCCAAGCAAGCAAGTCCCCCCCGCCTTAAACCCCTTGAGGGATGGGGGGTCGAAGTGACTCAAGCAAGTTTCCCCCTCGCTCTGGGAAATAACTACTCAGGTCCCCCAAGAAAAATCTCGAGCAACAGTGTTCAGAGTTGCTCGCTGAAGAGCAGGGAAAGGCGACGCTTCCTCCACGGGGCGGGCTGCTTCGTCTGTGCTGTCTGTCGCAAACCACCAAGAGCCTGACGACGATTGTCCTGATGAGTCGGAGAGCTGCAGGTCCATTGGAGAAGTTAAAATTGAGTTCCAAGAAAAGGCACATGGAGGTAGTACCCATGTGACATTATGAGGAAAACCCGCAGCAAGTGATCTACTACCAGGCTCCGTGAAGACGAACACTTACATGCAGTTCAAGACTTTTAGCATTTTTTTTTCAGAGCGTCTTCGTGATTCTGGGTTGTGTAAAGTTTAATTTCCCAATTTTATTAAGGAAATTGGTTTTCATGCGATAACTATAGAATGCCTCTTTTGATCGACTTCAACTCTTGAATACTGGTGTATTTTACTTAGGGAAAAGTTTCGATAGATTTTGGGTTGTCTCATTTCTTATGTAAAATTTGCCAATTTTACAGAAGAAATTAGGATAATTGAAATACTGATTTTTGTCTTAATCTGTAAATTCATTATCCAATTGACTTCAAACCTTCAGCTCTGATAACTTGAGAATGCAACTTTCAAGAGGCTTGAGACATAAGGAGTTGGTGTATGTTGTGATATTGGTCACTGAAATAACTAGAGAATGCCTCCTCTGGATGACTTTAAACTTTCAAGGCTGGCATAACTTAGTGGAAGGTTCGAATTGTACAGGTGCTAATTTTCCATTGTACTGAAGTTAGTTTAATTAGTTTAATATCTTTATGCACCCCATACCCATCCTGTGGGCGGTAGTCAAAAGATTACAGAGGTACATAATGGGTCCAGTGACTGTACCCCAAAGTTATGCTAGCTGAATAAGTTACAAAGGTAATGAACTAAGTCTGGTCACAATCATGACAAGTTACAAAGGTAATGGATCATAAACACGTCCGTACATGGTTACAATCATGAACAAATTACAGAGTATTGACCAATTAACAAACATTCTAGGGACTGAAGAAACTAGGATATTTCGTTGCGATAACTTGTGGATGCCTTTTCTGATTGTCTTCAAAACTTCAAAGCCTATATTTAACCGCATTTGAAACTTATGTAGCACTAAGCTTACTGGATACTGGGATACCTTCGTGGTATTTGCAGCTACCAAAATGCATTACTTATTTTCATATAGAAGAAGACGTGTATCTTAAAAAAGCAACTCTAAGGCAACTCAGTGACTTTGGTCACTAAACACTGTGACTGAGAACTGATCGGTGAAAACTGTATCTGGAGGTGTGTATGTGGTGGAGGTGGTTGAAGTGGTGGTGAGTGAGGTCCGGGAGCACCTATGTGTCATCCAGGTCAAACTCGCACCAACCCGCTCACCCACACGATGGCGGAAGCTCGGATTAAACAGCACAAACACAACTGGATCCATTGTAAAGTGAGTGGTGAATAAGATCCAGCCAGTAACTTCCAAAGTGAATGTTCTGTCATTTTGGAAGTAGAACAGCGGAACAGGGGAGGTGAAGAACAGGTTGCTCAAGAAGACAGCCAACATGGATCGTGTAGCATCAGCCCTGTGCACGCTGGACGAGTGTTGACTGCTGGCCAGACGACGCTGGTTGCGACACATCTGCAACCCAGTGACAGTCATTAGGAACTGCAACAGCCCCAGTGACAGTCATTGGGAACTACAACAACCTTAGTAACAGTCATTAGGAACTGCAATGACCCTAGTGACTTTAATTAGGAACCAACAAAAGGTGAAGCACAATTTTTTTGCTCAGATTCTAAAACTGAAAAGCATATATTTTTATTGATAAATTCTCCATGTTAATTGTGGCTAAGACTGGAAACATTTAGGTCAAGTCTGCTGGTACATATGTTGGAGAGGAAAGTTTTCTTTAGTTTCTATGATCAAACTTCAGAAATGTTATCTAATACCGAAGAGTTGCTTTCTGGGATAATAACTGCCTTTACATGGGGTTTGAGCATAATCTGAACCAGGGGTTATCAAAGCGAGTTGTGAAAACTAGTTGGACTAAGTGTAAATTTTCATAACTGGAAGGTACAATTATTATATATTTTGGTTTCTTTGCCTTTTTGTGCTATTTAATGAAAAAGTGAGTGTAGAAAAGTCTGTGTTAAGGGTTTATGAAATACATTGACAACATTTAAGATGAATGGTGAGATATCCAAGATTAAAAACATTTCTCTCTCTGGTTTAGCAGGTAATTTTTGTTTGGCGTAACGATACAAGAGCATCAGTAAGAGGCTACATATGATGTGTAAACTTAATGTTGTCTGTGCTGAAGTATGCCTATGTAAAAATTATTGTAATACATTTGGATTATTCCGTGTGTTGATCAATGAATATGTACCCTATGAAAGAGCTTTAAATGTCTTTCACTGTACACAATTGTGAGTTGAGTGTAATTTTGTAAAGATTATGAAAGTGCAGCATACTTTGCTGACCCTCATTATGAATTATTATTATTATTATTGAAGGGCTGTGATGTCCAGGACAAGCACCAATGTCTTGTGTACTTACAGTGAAGACCATGAGAGTGTAGCACAGTATGGTGGCCAAAATGGGCAGGAATGTATTTAAGACGAACAGTATAGTGAGACCTTGTTTCACCCCAGGAGCTGTCAGGTAGCCTAGGCCCAGCGGCACCATCAAGCCCTGAAAGCACGAGAGATATCTTTATGATGTTGTCTCAAAATATGTATAATTTATTATGGTCTATTATCTATTATGCACAATCTGTTACACATAATCTAGTATTAATAATCTACTAAATTATAATAAGAATTGAAGTAAAATGTATTCTGTATGAACAGTGGATCACAATGTAAAACTATCACACAAATGGATCATACAGAACAATGGTGCATTAGTGAATAACATGAATAACTCAAGACATGGGACTGTAGAAGCATATATAAAGTGAAGGAAGGCCATCTACAATTTTGATAGTGATCTATGCAGACATCATGACTAGCCTGTGAACGGTAGGCACACCAGTTATGTTTAGGTCACTGCCAGATCCGAGACTGGTAGTTCCGGATCCCATAAGCCTAGCCCTAGGTACTTCAGCGCACGCAAAAAATAAGACTAATACAAATTTTAGGATAAGTTTGTAATGTAGTTAAACATCAGTATTAAAGATCTCATTGTTCGCATCGCTATTGGGCCGTGCGGACAGGCTGTGCAGTAGCTCCTGATTCAACTGATTTCTGCGCAGTTTTCACAGACCAATACAAGTCACAAGATGGCGGACCGACAAGGCAGGAGAGTTAACATGGTCTGTGTTGCATTCACACAAGGCTCCCTCAGTGTTTCTACAATGCACACATTAATGCCAAGCATTATACGAGACGTGTACGGCATCCCCAATGAAGAATTATATGGCGTAGCTTTGAATGGGATGTCAAGGATATTTATAAAATTCGTGAATGCCGGCTTCTACAACAAGATTGTGGAAACTTTTCAAGAAAGGAGAATGGTAGTGAATTCGGCTGTGGAAGTGTGTCTACATGACGTGTCGACGTATGTCACCTGGGTCAAGGTGAGAAATGTGCCTTTCGAGGCGGAAGAGTACGATCTGCGGGATGTTTTCGGAAGATACGGAACGGTGCATGCAGCGACCAAGGGAGTGTGGAGAGAGGGCCCATACGAGGGGTTCCCAGAGGGTTCCCGGAGGGCTCCTTCACCATCAAGATGACGCTCCGCCAGTCGATTCCCTCTTATGTACGTCTGGAGAAATATAGGACCCAGGTGTTTGTTCATTACGCGGGCCAAAGGAAGACTTGCAGACTATGCAACTCCTTTGAGCATATGGCTGCCCAGTGCCCCCATCGACTGGTTGGCCACTCCCGGGACCAGTCACCTGTGGGCCTATGGGCTGAGGCTTTCGTGACTGAACCTGGTACCTCAGCTGGGCAAGTTCCCAAGCTTTGGAGTGATGAGATGCAACAGGAGGACACGCAGTCTACGATGTGTGCCACCCTGTCTGTGGATGCATCGACCGTGCCCACGCTTACAGTGGATCCTGTGGGGCCTGAGGTTTTGCCACAGGATAAGTTGCTGGAAGATGTGTTGCAGGACCTTCTAGATGGAACAGAACATAGTCCTGTTGTTTCGACGGCGTGTCGTGAGTTAACGACTGAGGAATCCCCTAACATGGAAATGCAGGACAAAACCACGTTCGTACGGACACATGAGGTGGTGGTGGAGGTTCACCAGGAGGCTTCGTCCAGCGAGGAGATGCATGTGGATGGCAGCTCCTGCAAACGTTTGGCGGGAGCATCGGATATGGACGACGTCTTGACACCAGGACAGCGCCCAGGGAGGAAATCGTGGGCGAAAGTGGCTGAGCTGCCTGTCACAGAAGGGATAGTTTCAAGGTCCCAGCATAAGGGTAGAGTGCGGGGGGAGAGGGGTCTCGAGAAGCTGAATGACAAAGACGGGCAGTCTAATGTGCGAGTGGGAACAGGAAAGACCCAAAAACATAGAGGTAAACCACCTTTTTCATAAATTCAAGTGTGGTACTATCAATGCCAATGGCTTAAGGACTGAAGTTAAAAAAGTGTGGATGGAGTGGTTTTTGCGTTGTTACGATGTGGATGTATGTTTTATGCAAGAACATAATTATAAATTTGGTAGAGAGTTACGGTTGAAAGGCTACCGAATGTATGTGAGTAATTCTTTAAAATTAAAGGGAGGGGTGGCTATAGCGGTGAAGGAGTCCAGCCCTTGGAGCATCTTGGGATGGGAGGGGGGGGAGATGGAAGGGTGGTAAGGGTGGATGGGCATTGGGGTGGGGTTAGAGTTTGTTTTATCGGAGTTTATATGCCAGCGGACAGTAACTCTAAAGTTAAAATAGACTTTGTGAGGGAGGCTTTAACGTTTCACATCCGGGGTTTACCTTTAATTTCGTCTTAGGTGGGATTGGAATTGCATTATCGCCAGGGGGATGTTGAGCCAAGGGGGGCGGGGTGCGTTCTACCTGTCCTAAGAAATCTGCTGGGGGATGTAGGGATTTATGATGTAGTGGGGAGGGGTGGGTGGGGGGTGGAACATACGTTTGTGCACAGAGGTTACGCGGCCCGACTGGATAGGATTTATGCAACACAAGGAATTCGAGTTGGGCGCCGTGCAGACCCTGATCTGGGGTTTTCTGATCACCGTGCAGTGCTAGCGGACTTGGACTGGTGATGGAATGATCAGGTTTATTCAGGGTATTGGAAACTGAATGGGCGGCTCTTGGAGGGGGAAGGGATGGGTCCGCTTTTCAGGATTGGTGGAAAAATATTTGGGAAACGCGGAGGGCAGATGAATGTTTGTTGGAATGGTGGGAAACATGTGCCAAACCTGGAATAGCACGTTATTATAAGAAGCGGGGAAAGGAGGAAGCAAGGTGGAGGTTTGGGCTACAAAACTATTTGGAGGGGCAGCTTAATGATTACTATGTGGAGGGTGGAAGTAGTAGGTATGACGACATTGAACATCTTCGTAGTCGACTTGCAGAAATTCACAATGAACGTTTTAATGTGGTTCGAGTCAGAGCAGGTATGGAAGAAGTGCTCTGGGGCGACAAACCTTCTGGTTGTGTCTTGCGCAAGTTCAGGGTCAGACAACAGGCGACGTCCCTCTTGCAATTGGAAGTATGCACGGGTTTGGGTGGTTACCTGCTGGGTCAAGTACTCCTCACCACGGACAGCATGAGTTTTTATGCTGATCTATGGTTTGGGGAAAAACTACGGCGGGGAGTAGGGGGGGGGGTCCAGGCGGGTGGCCTGGTGGGGAGGGATTTCAGAAAAGTTGTAAGTGACAGGGATAGAATGGTACTAGAAGGTAGAATTCGAGGGAGGAGGTAGAGGAGGCGATTTTTAGTATGAGTAAAGGAAAGGCACCAGGTATAGATGGCATTTCGAATGATTTTTATAGGGCGCATTGGGGAAGTATAAAGCATTGCTTGGTTGATGTATTGAATTGCATGCTCACGGAGGGGAGGTTAGGTATTTCGCAAAGTACGGGGGTAGTTGTGTTGGTGCCCAAAAAGGGAGGGGGGAGGGGTCTGAGTGCATATAGAGCTATATCTCTTATGTGCTCAGACTATAAAATCTTTGCAAAAGTTTTAGGAAATAGAATGAGGAAGGTTATGGGGTCAGTAATTCACAAGGGACAGCTAGGCATACCAGGTAGGAGCATGAGGGACGGGCATGTACGTATTAGGGAATTTTTGGAGGAATGTCAAGGGATGGGGGGTGTCCTCAGGCTTGACTGGCAAAATGCTTACAACTGTGTTGATAGAGATTTATTGAGGCTTATTTTATTGAAGCAGGGTTTTGGAGAGGAGATTGTAAGATGGGTTGATACCTTGTATGTCTCGGCTATGATACGCGTACAGGTAAACGGTAAATTAGGGCAGCCGGTCCGTATGGAACGGGGTTTGAGGCAAGGGTGCCCCCTCTCCCAGCTGCTTTTTGCTTGTATGCAAAACCCCTTTTATGAGCTGGTGGATGGTGGTTTGAGGCGTGGGACGCGGAGCAGTGACCATGCAGCGCGTGTGGTCGGGTATGTAGATGATACCACGATTTTGTTAAAAGGGGAGGAGGATTTGCGGATCGTGGGATGGATGGTTGAGTTTTTTGGGACAGAGTCTGGCATGTGCGTCAATAAAGCAAAATCAAATTATTGGAGGTGGGTACATGGGTGGGGGGGGGGGGGTTGGGCGAAAGGTATGGGTGGTCAGTCGTGGTGCAACTTAGAATATGTGGTATCGTGTACATGGCAGATGAGAGGGAGGGCCGAAGGGTGAACTCAGAATTGGTGGTTAATAAGGCTTTAGATCGACTTCAGGGGCTAAGAGCTGTAGAGGACAATAGTGGTTAATACACTTGTTTATAGTAAAGTATAGGGTGTGGCTGAGGTGTACCCTTTAAGAGATGTGGATATTCAGGAACTGCAGAGAAGGGTCTTACGTTTTGGGGTTTCGGGAGGGCTTGGTTAAACCGGGAGGTTGTCATGACCCATGTTCGCCGTGGGGGTTTAGGTCTCCTGGATTTGGGGCCATGGGTGAAGGCCCTCTATGTTAAGCAGCGGTTCCTCAGGGCGGGCGGTGAGAAGGGCATCTGGGTGGGTCGGGTAATGATCGACATGTGTAAATGGTGGAGCGGCAGGTGATTAATCGAGTGTGAGGACATGCTACGTTTGTTATTAAAGTTGAGAAATGCGCAACGGATTCGGGTGGGGCAAATGGTCAGCATATGTTGTCGTAGGGAAATTGTACAGGGATTGTCTGTTTTTCCGCTGTATAATTGGGGGAAATATGGGACGGATTTTGTAAACTTAAGTTGGCACCAAGGGTTCGTGAATTGGTGTACAGGTTTGTCATGGGGATTTTAGCATCAAAATCGGTCTTAAATAGGATGGGTTTGGTAAGGGAGGCGGATTGCTTACGTTGCGGTCTCGAAGAAACAGGTTTTCATGCAGTCTACTTTTGTGATACCTTGGACAAAGTTCGTTCGTGGTTGGGGCGGGTTTTTCGATTTTCTTATGTGGGGGAACTATCTCAACCTTACGAGCCTTAACATTAGACGTTAGCGGAGTATCAAGTGAGGTACGAAGAGCAATAATGTACGTGGTAGCTGATTTTCTTTATATATCGTGGGGTATGCGGGAAACCGGGGGAACAGTTAGGATCAGGGCAATTCCGGCAGGTATCTACAGAACGTATTGCAGAAATAAACTCATATATGGTAGAAGTTGGGATAATAGTTTTCCTGCAAACTATCGAAGTCTTACTGTTCAAAGGTTGCTGCAACTGGGGGTGGGGTAAGGCAACGGGGGGCTGGACTCCCCCCCCCCCCGTGGTAGCACCAAACTTTAGGGTAGAGGGCGGGTTTTGGGGAGTGACGTGTATGTATTATGAATGGTTCCGTGCGTCTGTGTGTGTATGGTTGTGGCGTTGTGTGGAACTGAGATCTTGGATTAATCCTAATATGGTCATGCATCTTGATAATACAGATAAAAAGCAATATTTCAGTATATGTTCCAGCCTCTGCAAGGCTGAACCGGTTCCCGACTGTGGCCGGGGCTTGGTGAAGTATGTTGGGTCTTTCCTGGGATTCCCGTTAGGTTTTGTTTAGTTATTTGTAAGCGGAAGCCTCGCTGATAACACCGCTAAAAGTACAACGTTATACTGCCCTTTAAGGGGAATGTTCATAAGCAGACCTTTGGTGATGGTTGTAAACTTTTGATGAAGGACAAAAAGTTTCATTGGCCTAAGATTGTTCGAATAGATAGAAGAGGTCACCTAGTGGGAGGGGGGGGGGTTGAGATGTATAATGTCCTATATTGTAATCTTTGGGCATTTAAGTTCCTTGGGCAGCAGCTTTTGTGGGATATATTGTTCTGTCACCCAGTGATATCACATGTAAATTTTTTTTTTTTTTTTTTTATCATTTATGGATTATATAGTCAGCTGATGTTCAATTAAGCACCTTTACTAATATCACTGTATACAAGTAAGGTATATTTTTTTTGTGGGTTTATAATTAGTTTGAGAAACTAAATATGGGGTTGGTCGGGGTATTAGGTGTCTTAGTGTTTCCTCATATGTAATCATACATGTTAGATCTGTAAAAGTCTTATGTTAATTATTAAAGGCTTTTTGCATATTTTGATTCCTTTTTCAATATATGTAAAACTAAAAATAAAGAACACCATGTTTCAATTTCAAGAGTCAGGTGGGTTTCTGATAGTTATTTTATATAACCATAGTACTAGTGAGTGTGCAATGTATTAGTTTCTATGATATTGTTTTTGTACATAATTTATATATATACATAGTACCATTGAATGCGCAATGCATTAGTTTATATGACATTCTTTTGTATATAAAATTTCATACACAATATGAATAAGACTGTCAGGTTTGGTTATATATTTATTTGGTGTTTAAGGTATGTTTCGGTAGTTCACTGTTTAGTTATATATATTGTTGTCTTACATAAAGTTTTCACGGTTCTTGTTTTAAAATCAATTTTGTATAACACACATGTATACTGTGTTTTTTAAATAAAAATATAAAAAAAAAATAAAAAATTTAGGATAAGTTTGTAATGTAGTTAAACATCAGTATTAAAGATCTGAAGCCACTCGCAAAAGGCATTCATAAATTATCACATTGAAACTAATACCCTAATTACGTCCTGGTCAGTTTACCACTTTTATCATGTAATGATGGTCAGTATTCTGTTTCTTTAAATATTTGTTTTAGCATACGTGTTAGGCTTTTGACACAAGCGTGGCACATCACACCTCATTGGGGTTATCACTTAAGGATGAAGTAGATCGATTTTTGGCTGGTGATATTACCAACAACGGCATTTCTTACGCTTCTTTTTAATGAGCTCGTTACTATTAACACTGATCAGTAATTGTCTAGATATTTATTACTACCGTAACTTGTTTAGCTAACAAAATGTTAGGCCCATCTAATGTCTCTGTAATTTATTTTGACAAGATATCGTAGCTTCCGCGTCAGGGACTTACGGGCGTTGCAATCTTAAGGGGTGAAATGAGGCTGGTTTCTTGAGGTATGCGTGGGCGTGAGTGATGCTTTTGATAAGTAAAGGTGTGGCGTACGGTGTAATAGTTGTTCGGTAAACTTGGTTAGCTGTAATGATATAATAATTAGTTATGTCCAGTTATTTTGTAGTAATGAATATTTCAATGTGAGTATGTTGTGACTTTTCCCCTTTACTGCTTAAAGCTTTTAAGGAGACACATTACAAATTCATTATTTGAAAAATGTCGATTTCTCCTAATATAAATACTTAACCATTCTGTGGAATCTGCTGTGAGTAATTCGTCTGTGATCAAAAGGTTCCAAGATTATACATATGATGTATAAATTTTGTAGTTGTTGATGATTTATGTGATCGTGTAATTTGTATAATGTTTATTTTTGTTATGGAGTAATGTTTTATAATAAATGCTAGAGTTTGTTTTTAAGTAAAATCTCATAAACAGTTGCATATCTATATAAAAGTTACATAAACTAATGTTTGATCACTGTTGTGATCATTAAGTGTGCGAATGATGTGGATGTATTTATAGATGGCTTTTAATGGGGGGGGCTCCTCCCCCCCAACAGTTTTGTGTGTATGTGTCAGATATTTTATCATTTGATATAATGTGTGTCAGTGCATGGTATGTATGTATGTATTTTGCGTGTTTGTTACACATTTCTATTTTGTATTAGGTTTCAAATTTTTCTTCTGCACTTGTGGTATGATTCTAAGTAATCTTGTACAGATCCTATATTGTGGTGTTATTTAATATTTTATACAACCTTGTAATTTATAATGTTTTAAATAAAATATAAAAAAAAATTATTTTGACAGCCGCCCACAGGATGGAAATTGAGGGTATAATAAAATTAATGACCTGCATTAATGAAATTGTTGTGTACGTCTGGTACGTAAGACTTACGACTGTTGTAAGGAGGGTGTAGAGAGTAACACAGGTCACCACAGTCACAACAGTCTTCATCTGTACAATACGTCCGTGGGGCGACCAGATGGCCTTCAATCTGCTTGTACAAGTAATACATATAATTAAATCTTGTAAATTAATTCATGTTGATAAAGTTTGGCGAATATTATGTTGCTCTGACGATTATTTTATTGCTTTGATTAATATTATGTTGCTTTGGTGAGTATTGTTGTTGTTACCTTGAAGAATATGTTGCAATAAGGAATATTATATTGCATGAATATACAAGACGAATATTGTGTAATGTAAAGATACGCTAATATGCAGTTAATTGGTTAGTTAATTGAATTAAACACCTGTTGCATATCATTAAGGCTTCACATAACCTGTTCACCACTAGTCAAGAATACTCTAATTCCTAAAATCGAGATTAAAGTAATCTCTCAGCGCATATATACTGAGAAAAAGGAACCTCTCATTGTACATTTCCTTTCTATATCTAATCTTGTCTATGATACAGATAAATGGAAAATCTAGACATAATTTTGCACAATTATATAAATTTATACAATAGTTCTGAGGGCACATTAGATATTTTAGAAATGCATTTGTGGTCAAAGTGAGGCCTATGCTAACATTCTTAAGGTGTATACCAATACACCTAGTTGAATGAATCTTATTACGCCGACATGGTACAGCAGCTATTATACTGGCCTGTTAGTTTTAAGACTTTCTTGCCAAGGCTTCGAACCCAGCTCCGTTCAGCGAAATAAGTACATTGTATGAATTTCTTCTTCCATACCTGAAGAAAGATACGGCAGCGATGGAGATAACCTCCATCTGAACAAGGACATCAAACATCTTGTGCATGACAACTATGACAGTGCTGGAGAAGGTGACTAGGTCGCAGGTGAGGATGGCTGTGACGTACTGTGCTACAGAAGAATTGATGACGCACAGCAAGAGGAGGGGCACGAACACACAGCCCAGCAGTATCTTCATTGCTGGCTTAGTCTTGTTACACGTATGCACACACCACAGTGCCACCACGTTACCTGCAACATGGTAATGCACGAAAAAATTTAAGAAAAAATGAAATCCTCATAAATTACACACGGCCTGGTCACAGACCGGGCCGCGGGGGCGTTGACCCCCGGAACTCTCTCCAGGTAAACTCCAGGTAAACACATACACACAAACACAGTTTTTAAGAAAACAGACAACATTAAACTACAGACCAGTGTCACTGACATGTATAGTATGCAAAGTTATGGAGAAGAATATCAAGAGAAGAGTGGTGGAGCACCTACATGATAACCAGCACGGTTTAAGGGAAGGGAACTCCTGTGTCACAAACCTACTGGAGTTTTACGGCAAGATGACAGAAGACAAGAGAGAGAGAGAGGGAGGGGGGGGGTAGATTGCATTTTTTTAGATTGTAAAAGGCGCTGCAATGGATCAGAGAATACCTGACATGAAGGAAACAACGAGTGATGGTACGTGACGAGATGTCAGAGTGGACGCCTGTGACGAGCGGGGTTCCACAAGGGTTAGTCGTAGGGCCGGTGCAGTTTCTGGTATATGTGGATGACATGACGGTAAGGTTAGATTCGGAGGTGTCCGTGTTTGCAAACAATGTGAAGCTAATTTGAAGAATTCAAACGGATGAGGATCAGGTAGGACTACAGAGGGATCTGGACAGGCTGCAAGCCTGGTCCAGCAACTGGCTCCTGAAGTTTAACACCACCAAGTGCAAATCTCTGAAGATTGGGGAAGATCAAAGAAGACCGCAGACAGAGGACAGGCTTGGGGGAGGGCAAAGACTGCAAACCTCACTCAAGGAAAAAGATCTTGGGGTGAGTATAATACCGAGTACATCTCCTGAGGCGCACAGCACCCAAATAAATACTACAGCATATGGGGTCCTGGCAAATCCAGGAATAGCGCTTCGACACCTTAGTACGGAATCGTTCAAGACTCTGTACACTGTGTACGTCAGGCCCATATTGAAATATGCAGCACCAGTATGAAACCCATACCTGGTTAAGCACGTCAAGAAATTAGAGAAAGCGCAAAAGTTTGCAATAAGACTAGTCCCGGAGCTAAGGGGTGTCCTACGAGGAGAGGTTAAGGGAAACCGACCTGACGACACTAGAGGGAGATTTTAATCCATTACTGCGGGATTTGAATCCATAATCAACCTGTGTAGAAACCCAATGGAAATTAAAAGCTCAAATATATGTCAGCTTATTTGATTCATATAGGGCAACCTTCCCTAGCCTTATAATAACTTACTAAGGAAGCCGAGGATGATGACGCCCCAGCAGTGTACAAGAGCAGCCAGCAGGAGGTATGGAGAAATTAGGAAGTGCTGAGGTATATCACCAGTTTCATTACAGTTCGGGCACGCTTCACTGCAATTCACTGTCACATTCATCTTTTCTGTGGACACAAGATATTTGCATTAATTTGTCGAAACAAGTGAAGAAATGTATTAGTGTTTGAGTAAAGCCATAGAAGACAAACACAAAATGAGAAGTAGTATATATATATTCTTTCGCCTGAGATTCTCCTCTACTGATGATGATGTCAGAACATCAGAATATGTATCTCGCAATTCGTGTTTCTTCTATGGGATTATTTAAATACTGAAAGATGTGCATTACACTTCCAGGTTTCCGGTCATGCATCTGCATCGACACTAATATTATTTAATATAAGACTGGAACAGTAGGTCTACTGACCTATGCAAGGCAGGTCGTTTATTTTCTTCCGGTGTCATCCAATATTTAAAATATAATTAATACAGCATGAAAATTAAACCAGAGAATACACCGTAATCTCTCATTTGAAGTGAATCCAACTAATGATACTTTGTGACAGTAATTTAATTATATGTTATATGGTAATTATTCACATTAAATTCCATCATGTTTAGTTTATCCAGGTCTTCCTGTAGTAGTGATACACAATCATTTTTATCGGTTATCCTCCATAGGAGGATAACCGATAACCTATGGAGGATAACCGTATTGGTTATCCTCCTATTGGAGGATAACCAATAAAAATCTATGAACATATAAATACGTTAGAAGAGTTAAAAAGTTAATCAAACATGATAAGAATAACCATATTTTACTACAGTATATGCCTTTAACTACATTCTGTCTGTTAATTCTAATGAAAAATGAAAATTTGGGAAAATACTTAAAAAAACACGTTTTTTGAGTAATATCTTTTTCAATGTTAATTCAGTATTCGAGTTATAGAACTGACAAGTATTATTTCGCTACAAATACTATTAAACAGAGCTTTGGATATTTCATTATTTTTGATTATAGCAATAATAATTTAGATATTTCACAGATAAAATATTTTCAACACATTTAATTCGTCAAGACTTCAGTAACCCAAGTGATGATGTGGTAGTAACTGAGTAATGGCAGCAGCGTGTGTGGTGGCTACCGTAGCACTGATCTAGCTGAAGGATGGTGGCGCTAGGTCGTGTCACTGCTGTAACACAGGATGATGGGCGCTAGGTTGTGTCACTGTTGCAACACACGATGGTGATGGCTTCCGGGTGCCCGACTGGGTATCTTACCGATGTGCAGTTTACCAACATAAACAAACGGGATATACAAGCACTGTATGAACAGCTATCCTGCGCCGTGTATTGTGACCATAGTTAATCAAGTAATATAGTTACCGTGTAAATTGATACCTTGTAAAATTTCACATATAAAAATGAGAATATTGAAGAGACATCACTGCAGTAAACCATCTGACCCGTACTCAGCAGGTCCCACTCACATACACCCATTCCCCTCTCTCGTATCCGTGAAATACGAACTTGAAATTAACGAAAGCATTTATCTCAGTTTAGTTAGTTTAATAGCTTTTTTATGCATCCGATATCCATGGTGTAGGTGGTTGTCAAAATATTACAGAGGCACAATGGTTCCAGGGACTGGACACCAACGCTTTGATACCTTAACATGTTACAGTGGTAATGAACTACTTACATGCTTATATCTGGTTACAGCCGTGAGTTATTTATGCAGACATGAATTTAGTCACAAAACATTACAGTGTAAACCATACCCCGGCCGGGATTGAACCCGCGGTCAGAGAGTCACAAAACTCCAGCCCGTCGCGTTAGCCACTAGACCAGCTAGCCACAATAAGATTCATCCAACTAGGTATATTTCTACACCATAGGAAAGTTAGCACAGGCACCTCTGTGACCACAAATGCAAGTTTTTACAGACGAATCTCCAGCTAGCGTGGCCGTGACGAACTCTAGCTCAAGTCCCTTCACTGCCGTCAACATGACTCAAGAAATCGTAATGACACGTGTCATTACGATTTCTTGAGTCACATTACAGTGTAGCTTATATGCTGTTTTGAATAATTTACATTATATTTGAATTTAAAAAGGTTTAAGAAGTTATGAGTTATTTACAACAGTCAAAGGCAAGGTATTTTTCCAGATGGTAAGATGCTATTGTGGCTAAAACATTGACATTTCTTGAACATTTGCGACTGAGTTGTCTCCGGATTCATATCTTATCACTTTCCGGCGCATGATGACGCAGTTGTGACTTTCCATCTAGTAAAGTTTACGTTAGTTTGGTCTATATCATCTGGTAATGCAACCTTCCAGAGATACTGGTAACCCAGCCAGAGCCAGGCAGAAATGATATCCAAAAGTGTGCTGATTTTGCTGGATGCACCATAGACGTGTGTCTTCTGCATGATAAAGTGATTGAACTGACTTTACCTGGAGAGGATTTCGGGGGTCAACGCCCGAGCGGCCTCGTCTGAGACCAGGCCTCATGGTGGATCAGGGTCTGATCAACCAGGCTGTTACTGCTGGCCGCACGCAAGCTGACGTACGAACCATAGCCCGGTTGGTCAGGTACTGACTTTAGGTGCCTGTCCAGTGCCTTCTTGAAGACAGCCAGGGGTCTATTGGTAATCCCCCTTATGTATGCTGGGAGCAACTGAGCAGTCTTGGGCCCCGGACACTTATTGTGTTGTCTCTCAGTGTACTCGTGGCGCCCCTACTTTTCATCGGGGGAATGTTGCATCTCCTGCCGAGTCTTTTGCTTTCATTGGGAGTGATTTTCGTGTGCAGATTTGGTGCCAATCCCTCCAGGACCTGCCAATTGTATATTGTCATGTATCTCTCTCGCCTGCGTTCGAGGGAATACAGATTAGGGACCTTCAACCGTTCCCAGTAGTTTAGGTGCCTTATCGTACTTATGTGTGCCGTGAAAGTTCTTTGTACACTCTCCAGGCCTGCAATGTCGCCAACCTTGAAGGAGGCCGTTAGTGTACAGCTGTAGTATTCCAGCCTAGAGAGCACAAGCGATCTGAAGAGAAACATCATAGGCTTGGCGTCCCTAGTTTTGAAGATTCTCATTATCCATCCTATCATTTTCCTAGCAGATGAGGTAGATACTCCCAGATCCTTCACATTACTCTTCCGTTCTATTGTATGGTTAGAATTTGTTGTATACCCTGATACATTTTTAATTTCTTCAAGTTTCCCATATCTAAGTAGTTGAAATTTCTCCTCGCTGAACTTCATATTGTTTTGAGTGGCCCATTCGAAGACTTGGTTGATGTCCGCCTGGAGTCTCGCGGTGTCTTCGATGGAGGTCACTATGACAAGGTCACTGCCATGGTAATCCGGGTGTCATCCGCAAAGGAAGACACGGAGCTATGGCTTATATCTCTATGTCAGAAATGAGGATGAGGAATAGAATGGGAGCGAGTACTGTGCCTTGTGGAACAGAGCTTTTTATCGTAGCTGCTTCGGACTTTACTCTGTTTACTATTACTCTTTGTGTTCTATTTCTCAGGAAGTTGAAGATTCATCTACCAACTTTTCCCGTTATTCCTTTATCCCGCATTTTGTGTGCTATTACACCATGGTCACACTTGTCTAAAGCTTTTGCGAAGTCTGTGTATACTACATTCTCTACAGCATCCAGGACCTTGTCATAGTGGTCCAGTAGCTGGGACAGGCAGGATTATTATTATTATAATCAAAAAGAAGCGCTAAGCCACAAGGACTATACAGCGGGACAGGCAGGAGCGACCCGCTCTAAACCCGTATTGCCCTGGGTTGTGTAACTGATGTTCATGTAGGTGGTTGGCTATCTTGCTTCTTAGAACCCTCTCAAAGATTTTTATGATATGGGATGTTAGTGCTATCGGTCTGTAGTTCTTTGCAATTGCTTTACTGCCACCTTTCTGGAGTGGGGCTATGTCTCTTGTTTTTAGTGTGGGTGGGATGACCCCTGTGTCCGTGCTCCCTCTCCATAAAATGCTGAAGGCACGCGATAGGGGCTTCTTGCAATTCTTGATGAACACGGAGTTCCACGAGTCTGGGCCTGGGGCAGAGTGCATGGGCATGTCATTAACTGCCCCTTCAAAGTCTTGTGGAGTTAGAATAATATCTGAGATTTTTGGAATGACCAAATTTTGAGTTTCGTTCATGAAGAATTCATTTGAATTGTCGACCCTTAGTCAGGGCAGTGGCTCGCTGAACACTGAGTCATATTGTGATTTTAGTATCTCACTCATTTCTTGGCTATCATCTGTGTATGTCACATCCCGCCTAAGCAGGGGCCCAATACTGGATGTTGTTTTTCCCTTAGATTTAGCATAAGTAAAGTATTTTTTTTTTCAATTTCCTTTATGGCTTTTAGTTCTTCCTGTGATTCTTGGCTCCTATAAGATTTCTTCAGCTTAAGTTCGATATTTGCAATTTCATTGACTAGTGCCTCCCTTCGTATTTCAGATATATTGGCCCCACTCAGCAGCTCTGTGACTCTTCGCCTTCATCTGTATAGGGAACGTCTCTCTCTTTCAAGTTTACATGTTCTCTTTCTTTTTCTTAATGGAATGTGTCTTGAGCAGATCTCAAGAACCACAGAATTATTTTTTTTCAAGGCAAATGTTCGGATCCATGTTGTTTAGGATATCTTCCCAGTTTGTTTCATTTAGGGCATGGTTTACTTGATCCCATTGTATGTTTTTGTTATTGAAATTGAATTTCGTGAAGAAACCTTCATGACTGCTCATATTTTGCTGGTCCGGAGCCTTGTTCATACATGTCTGTACCTCTATTATGTTGTGATCTGAGTGTATTGTCTTTGATATATTACGTATCAGATCGTCATTGGTAGTGAAGATAAGGTCCAGCGTATTTTCTAGTCTTGTAGGCTCTACTATTTGCTGACTTAAGGTGAATTTGGTGCAGAGATTTAATAGTTCGTGTGTGTGTGAATTTTCATCTGAGCTGCCTCCTGGGGTGATCTCTGCTAAAACATTGTTTGCTATACTCCTCCATTTTAGGTGTCTCAAGTTGAAATCTCCTAGTAGTAAGATGTTTGGGACAGGAGTTTAGAGATTTTCCCAATCAATCTACCCCAGTCTCAAGTAAGTGAAGTTCAACTGAAATTCTTTTTTATTATTGGCCTCAAACTACTGACAGCCTAGTATCGTACTTTATTGCCTCTTTGAAGTTATATATATATATATGCCATTGCCAATTCAGTTCCATCATGCATCTAAAAACCGGTATAACATGGACTTCACTGTTTACAATCCAACTTACCTGTGTTTGGCTTCTGAAACAAGCATTCCACAATGTCAAGTTTCCTCAACCTATCCTCAGCTCTTGCCAAACCAGTGCTCTTCTGTATATTACAATCTCAAATATTGAATTTATCCGCTTTTAAACATACAGATCAGTATATATATATATATATATATATATATATATATATATATATATATATTATATATATATATATATATATATATATATATATATATATTATATATATAATGGGGTCCACCTCTGGTGTAAATTGTGGGAGCCACAGCCTCGGAGAAGTGGATAAAAAAGCTTCAAGGAAAAATATTTGGATTTCTTCCTGAAGCCGTTTGAATATTCCACTTCCCTACCACCCCATCTTTTCATATTTATTTTTTTTACTAATAGGAATATATATATAATATATATATATATATATATATATATATATTATATAATATATATATTATATATATATATATATATATATATATATATATATATATATATATTATATATATATATATATATATATATATATATATTATATATATATATATATATATATATATATATAATTCCAAGCGCTTTCGTGACTACTCACATTGTCAAGGAACTATAGTTCCTTGACAATGTGAGTAGTCATGAAAGCGCTTGGAATTTCACTATTCTTTCAGAGTGGTTGTTTCGCATATTCTGAAATCACCTGTTTACTGTGATCTTATTGCATGCATATATATATATATATATATATATTATATATATATATATATATATATATATATATATAATATATATATATATATATATATATATATATATATATATATATATATTATTATATATAATGTATGTATATATATAACTCATATTAAACTGTTAATGAAAATGTTTCAGTAGTGAGGGCTGAGGAAGGTGAGGCAAGTAAGAAGGTTTCTTGGGGCTTCCCACATCGCTACATTTCTCAACTTGCAGGGGTCGTCCACAGTGCGTTCCATTATTCATCTTCTAACACAGAATTCGCTTAATTAATATTAAAATTGAACTCAACGCAGTTTTTTAATCCTCGAGAATTTAGTCAATTACATGAAGAAACTTCGAAGGAAAAGACCTGGATTCCGGTGAATGGCTTATCAAATGAATTGGATCTAACCTCATGGCCATTTATCGGATCATACCTAATTGTCTCCCATTCTCCAGGCTCTGTATAATCCCTACGCGGTTCGAGCTTTCCTCTGAATATAATAAATTATCGTTTTCTCGTGTTTCCTCGTGTATATGTGGGTTGTCATTCATCTAAATGATTAAGTCCCATGTCAGAAGAGGCATTTGTGTTTCCTGACAAATACCACGAGTAGTATGGCTTGTGTTGGGTTGACTGTCGTGCCACGATATACAAGTATACAATGTTAGAACTGGTTAGCTGTTAATGTAAGTTTTAAAGAGACATAGATAGGATTAATACAATGTAAACATTACTTATATCTGACGCAACTTTATTTACTCGTTTTCCTAAAAGAATTTCTTTACTTACTAGTCGTCAAAACCATCTTTGGCAGTAAGAACAGGCACTCTTGCAAACTCAGTGACCAATGTAAAAAAGCACTAATTAATGGAATTCTTACTACATTCAAAATACAGCATAACAGCAGCAATACTGAGACGAGTATTTCTTTCTCAGCTTATAAATATCAAATCACCATATGGAATCTTTGGTACAGCTGGTTGCTAGTTCACAGACGATGATGGTGATCTGTGACCGAGGACTTCTGCTCGGGGGTTTCTGTGACCGTGGACTTCTTGCCGGAGGGCACCGTGATCGAGGGCTTCAGATCGAATACTGTGACTGAGGACTTCTGGTCAGTGGTTTCTGTGACTGAGGACGAATGGATGTTGGAGGTGGGTGAGGTCCATGGGCAGCACTGTGTCATCCAGGTCACACCCGCACCTACCCGCTCAACCACACGATGGCGAAAACTTTGGTTAAAACCCACGAACACTATGGGATCCACAATGAAGTGAGTGTAAAATAACATGTGAAAAATTACATGTAAAGTAAACGAAGGATCTTCCAGGAGATGAAAAACTGAGTGAGGGAAGCTG